TCAGAATTTAATGAGTTCGTAGAGCATACAAGTAAAATTGTTGAAAGGGCTCTTAACGAAAATTATGATATTATGAAAGATTATACAACTAGTGAAGGTGACGATAGGTAGGTAACCTTATTACCTGAAGTAGCTCTTTTTTTCAAATTAATAATAAAAAGAATGTTAAAGTGATTTTTATTTAACAGTGAAATGCCCACAGGTCCATGCGTTAAATTTTTGTGCTCACATTTCGATGAACGATGGAGCAAAAATCGGTTTGTTACCGATGTGAACTGGTCTATGAAAGTGTGTTAGCTTTTTACTCTTCTAGTATCTTGTTTGTAAATTTTGTAAATTTTCTAATTGATTTGTACTGTAATCCCGATTACAGAACCCTGAACTAAGTGTTGCATCATATAACAAAAATCCCATTAATATGAATGATCCGGATGGTATCGTTTTAGTATGGAACTTAAGACTTGTCGAGCGTCCTGAATTTGTTTTCCACTCCCAGGTAAGATTTTATACTTCGAATTCCTCTATTCCATGCGACCTAATTTACTCTCATACTCACACACGTGACATTATTTTTCAGTCGGACGTGCTAACAACGATGTTCTCGGAATTCCATAACAATCTTATAATTGGTGGAACCTATTCTGGTCAAATATTACTTTGGGATACTAGAGCGAAGTCTCTACCTGTTCTCAAGACCCCGCTATCATCCAATGGGCACACTCACCCTGTCTACTCGATGCAAATGGTGGGCACTCAAAATGCCCATAATCTTATAACTGCAAGTACTGATGGGTTGGTGTGTTCTTGGCAATTGGACATGTTATTACAACCGACGGTATATTTTAATATTGAGTAATATATCATATTTAGCTTTTTAATATATTAAATGCATAGCATTTCGTATTTAGGAAACTTTGGAATTGGTACATTCTACACACAATAAAACTGAAGAAGTATCGGTTACCTCATTCTGTTTCCCAGATCACGAAACATCCGCTTTTTGGGTAGGAACGGAAGAAGGAAACGTTTATCAAGCGAATAGATTCGGTCATGCTGGAGGGTATGAATATCATATAATTTTGATATGCTTTTTCTTTTAAATAATTCCTTGATAATTGAAGTTTCACAAATAATATCTTAAATATAATATATAGCAAAGCTGGCATTAACCCCTACGATTATTACAAAGGACACTGGGGCCCGGTGACCGGCCTCCATTTCCATCCCCTCGTAGGCCCTAAAGATTTTTCTGATCTATTCCTAACTTCATCTGTAGATTGGACCGTCAAACTATGGAAGGCCAAGTCAATTTCGAAACCATCTGCAGGAGAACAGATAATTTCACCAATATATTCGTTTGAAGGAACCGATGACTATGTCTACGATGTTAAGTGGTCACCCACCAATCCGGCAATGTTCGCGTCAGTGGATGGTAACGCGAATTTCTC